TTTTTTAAATATTTTATTGATTTTTTACAGAGAGGAAGGGAGAGGGATAGAGAGTTAGAAACATCGATGAGAGAGAAACATGGATCAGCTGCCTCCTGCACACCCCCCACTGGGGATGTGCCCACAACCAAGGTACATGCCCTTGACCGGAATCGAACCTGGGACCCTTGAGTCCACAGGCCGACACTCTATCCACTGAACCAAACCCGTCAGGGCCATCCTTTGGGTCTTGAGGTGGATGCCCTACCTGAGAAACCTACCCTGACCCTCCAGGCGGGGCAGGTGCCCCTCTGAACCCTCGCCTGTGCACCCTATCACAGCCTCCTCACCCCGACACTGCCTTGCCACGGTCCCTTCCCTCCACTAGACTGGGTGGCCCCCTGGGCAGGGACTGGGTCTGTCTTGGCCACTGCTATGTCTAAGGTGCCCGGCACAGGCTTGGACGAGTAGGTGGTCAGCACATATGGTCATCAGACAAACAGGAGGAGTCACGACCCACACGTGGGGAAGGGGAGGTCAGCAGGCTGCAGAATGGGAAGGTGGAGCCATTTAAAAATGGAAAAGCTGTCTCAGCTGCAGCAGCGAGCTCCCCGTTGCCACAGGCTCGGTCAGCGCCCAGGGGTGTGGCCCTGGGCAAGATGCATCCTCTTCCAAGAACTCAGTTTCTTCCTCTGGGAAATGGGGGTGTGCGCAGGGACCTGGCTCAGGGCGCAAGGAGTCCGTGCAGGCACCTGGCCGCCCGTGTGTGCTCAGCAGTCATGCTGGCGGCTCCTAGTATCCCTGCACCAAGGCTAGTCACCCTCCTCTGAGTCTCAGCTCCCCCCATTTGGCCACACGGCCCCTTAGACCACACAGATGGGCCACTGCCTGGATGGGCAGGAGGAGGCTCCGCTGGTGTTTACCTAGAGCAGCCACCAGGAAGGACCAGGGGCTGGCACGGGCTGGCGGTCCTTGGCAGCGCCCAGCTTCCCTGGAGGCGGCTGGGGGAGGGCCCACGCCTGGCTGTTGGGGGACTGAGGAGGCTGTGATAAAGCTAAAGCCCCTTCTCAGAGGGGGAATTCCTGATTTGGGGCAAGGGCTCTGTGTGCACCTAGCAGGCACCCACTAGATGCCAGTCCAGGCTGCTTGGGGCCTTTGCCCATGCTGTTCCAGCCGCCAGAATCACTTTCCTTTTTACAGTACTGACCCCTGCTCCTTCTGCTCAGAAGACTCCGCCTCCAGGAAGCCTTCCAGATTCTCTGGGTTGGGTCAGGCACCTCCATTTGAGTTAACACAGCGCCTGAGTTCCTCCCATCACAGAGCTGATCATCCACTTTTATAGCCGGGCTGTGGGCACGTCACTTAGCTGATCGACAGATACTGACAGATCACTTAGTACAGTGGTTCTCAACCTTCCTAATGCCACGACCCTTTAATACAGCTCCTCATGTTGTGGTGACCCCCAACCATAAATTATTTTCGTTGCTACTTCATAACTGTAATTTTGCTACTGTTATGAATCATAATATAAATATCTGATATGCAGGATGTATTTTCATTGTTCGCGACCCACAGGTTGAGAACCGCTGGCTTAGTAGGTGTCAGGCACTGTGTACAACCATCCATGCTTAAGGAACCCTGCAGGGCAGGTGCTGTCACTGCCCTCTATTTACAGACGGGGAAACTGAGGCTCAGAAAGACTGAATAGTGGGAAGAAGTCAGGTGCCTGGGATGTACCTGCTCCGCTGTGGTGCTTGTGACCGTCAAGGAATCTAAAAGGCAGGCAACGCTGGCCACTCCTAGCACCTGTCCTCTCCTTTTCCATAATAACAGCGCCCATGGTTTTCAGCTGGACTGCTGGCCACTCGGAATAAAAACTCCATTTCCCAGCTTCCTTTCAGGAAGTATAGCCACGTGACTATGTTCTGGCCAATGGGTTATGAGCAGAAGTGATGTGTGGAATTTCTGTGAAATGTCTTCGGAGAGGGGAGCCCTTCCTCACCCCTCTTCCTGACTGGAATGCAGATGTGAGGGCTGGAGTTCAAGCAGCTGTACTGTGTTAGGCCGTTAGACAGACATGCGCAGAGCGAGGGTGATGGGCCAGGTTCAGCAGGTCACCAGGGTGGAAAGCCCCAGGGGTCTAGCAAGGGACAACTGTAGGGTGGGACCTCGCCCCCAGGGTGGCCTTCCTCTCCTAGCATCTCACTAGTCATTGTTTAGGCCCCTGATCTTTCCTCCCTAGAGATAACATCTAGGCCTCGGTTGTATTTCAGCTCCAGGCCCAGAAAAGCAGAAAAATCAGTCAAGCGATGCCACCCCTGCCCTCAGGACCAGCTGCATTGAATAATGACGCCCTGTCCCGGCACCGACCGATCAGTGGAGACCTAGACCCTGAAAGGACACATCTGAAAGCTGCTGAATATCCTATTGAGATCTTCCCCTGGGACCTCCCCTAAACTCTCCACCCTCAAAACCCTTAGGATGGAGGGACCAGTGCGCTCTCCCTCCCAGGATCACCCCATGCCTTTCCCCCTCCCCCTCCCCCTGTCCCTCCCCTCCCCCTATGCTCCTTACCAATACTTTCTTCACTCCCAAGCTCCAAGGGCCCTTCTTTTGCCTCTGTAACTTGTTTCCTGAGCCCGTTTCTTCCACCTCTGTGATCTTCTAAATAGATGATCTATAGTTTAAGGCTTGGCTCTGAATGCTTTCCTAGCCAGGACTCAAGTACCGAGGTTGCTGAACCCAGGTCCAGCCTGACTCCACCGGTCTAACACCTGGTGCCGTTCTCACCGCCTCCAATAAATAGTATTGTCCCACCTGCTGAGGACGTGGAGCAATGAGGTGGCAGGAGCCTGGGCTCTGGACACCATGGGGCCTCCACGCCTTCCCCGAACTGATATTCATGCTCATGAACAAACAAGCCCCAGGTGCTGAAGCTGCTCTGGTTGGTCAGCCCCCAGCACACACACAAGCCGCGACCTAGGGCCCGTCTTTGCCTTCGTCAATCAGAGAAGGGAAAAGCTTCCCCTAAACCACCTCAGAGGTTCTCAGCTCCAGCAAAGCACGGGTGGAAAACACTTATGTGTGTAAAAAGGAAAACCTCTGAGTACAGGCCAGTACTCACTTGTGAATCCACCAAGACTAGACTACAGGCTCCAAATCCCATCACAGCCACACACTGTGTGATCCCAAGCAAGCGACTTGGCCTCTCTGGGCCTCCGTTGCCTCACTTATAAAATAGAGCCCTGGAACTGTTGCTAACAGAATTTTTTTTTTTTTTTTTAGCTACTGGAAACCTCCAATGGTTTTACTCAGCTCCTCAGAATAAAAGCTGAATTCCTTATCAAGCTTTATAAGGCCCTGCACACCTGCCCTTACCTCTCTCCCCCACTTCCTCACTGTGCTCTGGTCACATGGGCCTCCTCACTGTTCCTCCCAACACATGAGGCCTAGTCTTGCCTCAGGGCCTTTGCACGTGCTGTGCCACCTGCCTGGTACACTCTTCCTGCATCCTCACCTCCTTCTCACTATTCCAGTCTCAGAGCCATGACTTCCCTGATCACGCTTGCCCCATGGCCAAGTAAGAGCCCCTCACTCATACCCCAGAAGAACCCTTAAAGTGGCCCATCTTCTACAAAAGGGGGCGTGCGAGGGACCGAAGAAGCACCTTGTTTGTTCACCATAAAATTAAACCACATCTGAGTTGGTCTCTGAATCCAAGTAGAAATTCACAGGAAATACAGGGGATTGAGGAACATGTTAAATGACACCACAGGGACACCCAAGTGGCAAAACCCAGACGACCAAGGACATCACCAAAGGGCGAATGACCCAGTTGCTTCACCAAGTAAAGAGCAAGGCAAAATTGAGAGAGAGAGAGAGAGAGAGAGATGGAGGGGAAAGCTCCCCATGACGGGAGTTAGGAGCCCGTCACCCTGACTCAGACAAACAAAAGAAACGGACACCAGGACTGTTCACACTTCCAGGTGTCCCCAGTGGAATCATTACTTTGAACATGATACTGGTATTTGTGGGGGTTTTTTTTGAGAGGTGTTATCATAAAGAGCAAGGCCTCTCCCCTCAGCACTGTGGACATTGGGGCTGGTCATTCCCTGTGAGGAGGCCTGTCCTGGGTGCTGTAGGGCATTGAGCAGCATCCCTGGCTCCCACCCACGAGAGGCTAATAGCGGCCCCCGTGATGACTACAAACCCGCCCAGACACTGCCAAGTGTCCCCTGGGGAGAAAGTACCCTCCCCAGCTGAGAACTACGGCTTTATCTACCCAAACTGAAATATTTACAGGTGGAAAAAAAAATCTGGGATTTGCATCAAAATAGCAAGGGAGCGGGGAGTGAGTGAAAGTGGAGAAAATACAGGAAATCATTGTTGAATCTGAGTAATGGGTACACTGGCGGGGGGGGGGTCATTTTTCTATTCTTTCTCCTTTGGGTGTGTTTGACATTTTCCAGTATCAAAAGTTGGAATGATGGGGGAAATTCAAGTAAAAGCAGGCGTTTCGTCCATCACAGGTACCCATGTTGCCTTCTCGGTTATGACGCACACGCTGTGCTATGGACGATGTGAACATCAGGGGAAGCCAGGTGAGGGCACATTAGAACTTTAGCTATTTATCTTAAATCTAAAATGATTCCAAAATAAGAAGTTTATTTTTTAAAAAAACATTTAAGTGAATAATGAATAAACATATCCAGGATCAGCAGCTGTGTGCCCAGGATTGGAACCGAGGCAGGGGCCTGGGCATGGCCACCACTGGGGATGAGCACAGAGACCTTACATCCCGCCTCCCCGCCGGCCCATGTCTTCTCACTCACCACAGACATGGCAGCCGGCCGTGGGCTCCCCTGGCTTTATCACGTGGGTGGCATGAGGGGCCAGAGGCGGGTGGCCCCACAGCAGCCAGGGCACAAACGGCTTTCAAACCCATTTTTATTCTCTCCAGACTAGAAACACTTACGGCTACCCTCCCCAGCCCGCTCCTCGCCGGCCAGGGCCTGTGGGCCTCAGAGTGGGTCTGGGGGCCGCTCGGAGGACTCCACCGCCTCGGCCACCCCCACGGAGGTGGCGCTGCAGGAGTGGTGTGGGCTGGCTCGGGCCAGCAGCGCCAGCCTCCGGGAGCGCAGCCGGGCCTGGATGGCCCAGATGGGGGCATGGTGGCCCAGCAGGGCGGGGTCCTCGTCGCAGAAGCTGTCGATGGTGGAGTTGGAGCTGTCCTCCGTGCTGGCCACCGACTGCTTGCACACGGGGCAGGAGCGCTGGGCAGCCTGGGAGAACCAGGGGTCGATGCACTTGCAGTGGTAGGTGTGGGAGCAGGGCAGGATCTTGAGCTGCTCGCCCTCCTGGTACTCGTCCAGGCAGATGGCGCACACGTCGTTGAGCCGCGTGAAGGTCCGGACCTGGGCCCTCCGGCAGGCCGGCTTCTTGACCGCGGCGGGCCCGTAGGCCCACCTGGACCACAGCCAGTTCCACAGGTGTCGGAGGATGAAAAAGGTGGACATGAGCAGGGCCAGGGTGCGGCCCAGGACCCAGGAGATGGCCAGCACGGGGTGGCAGTCCAGGTCCGGGCACGGCGGGTAGTTGGGCAACAAGAGGACCTGGGCGGACTTGTCGCAGCACATGATGACCCGCAAGTCCTGCGAGGCGGCCTCGCTCACGAACACCGCGGGGATGGAGATCTGGTGCCGCAGGTCCTCGTAGACGTGGGCCATGCGCACCAGGTCGTCCGAGAAGACGTTGTGCACAATGGCGGCCTTGAAGCCGGCCTGCTGGGCGTGCAGCACCTTCAGGTCAAATGTGCAATCGTAGCGCCGAATGAGCACGATGGCGCCCAGGGAGCCATTGCCCACCGGCTGCGGGCGCTCGATGGGGTGGCACGCGTTAGCCGGCTTGGCCTCCATCAGGTAGCCCCGCACACCCTCGGGGGCCAGGGGCGCCCCGAACATGGCCGGCAGGTCCGCGAAGTCCACTGTGCTCGCGTTGCCGTCCAGCACGGCCCGCACCACCGCCTGCGAGGGCACCAGCAGCGCCAAGAGGACCAGGGAGGCCTTGACCGCCCTCAGGGCCAGGGCCCGCCGCTGCCGCCCCATGGCCACCCCACCCTTCCTCCTCCTCCTGCTCCGAGTGAACTAGGTCCCACTGGGGATGGCAGATGGGAGGCCTTTGGGCATCTCTGGGGCCTCCCAGGTTGGAATGGAAGTAGCTTAAATGGGAGGCTCAGAGGCAGGTAAGCAGAGCGGCTGGGACCTGGGCGGCCCTAGGCAGGAACTGCTCCTGGTGGCAGGCGCCTTTGCATTGCGTCTTTGAAGGCTGGTCTCAGGAGGAACTGACCTGCCAGGTGGCCTTGCTGGCAGATGGGGCCGAGGCCAGGACCCCTCAGGGTTCTAGATGCCCCCAGCCTCTGTGACATCATCCACTTACATTCTGCCCCCAGCGGCCTGAGCCTGTGGCCGAGATAGAATTCCTAGGTGTCTGACCGGGGCGGGGGGGGGGGGGGGGCCAGACAGTCTCCAAAAAGTGTTCTGGGAGTCTCGGAGCACCCCCGGCTCCTCTATGGTGTGAGGCCTTATGTGAGCCTGTGGCCCCGAGTGGCACAGATCCAGGACTCACACTCACACTCCACAGGCATCATCTCCCTGTGCCTCTCAGTGACCAACAAAGAAAGTGCCAATGTTACCTTACTATTCCTCCAACGTGCTAAGCACGGTTCTGCCCCAGGACCTTGGCACAGGCTATTTCTTCTGTCTACAGTGACCTTTCTCCCTGTGCCGGCTATTTCTCGTGACTCAGGGAGAATCTGTCTGAGTTCATATGCACTCAGAGTCTAACTAGACTTGATCTGAAGGGAGAGAGAAGGGCCAAGGGCAAGGTGGGGCTGGCCGGGGTGGGTGGCTACACATCCTCACTGCCTGGTAGGCCTCCTGCACCGGCTTTATTCTCTCACTTTAGAGGTTTCTCTCCAGCTGAGTCTCTGTTCCCCATTCCTCAGCCAGAACTCTGGGCATCAGCCTCACGTCCTCCCCACTTCTCATCCCCCAAATATCCCACCTTGAGTCTGTCTCCTACTCAACTAGGCAGCCTGCTCAAGCCTTGATTCCTGGCTCAACTGTGTGATGTAGGTAAATCACTTACCTTCTTTGGGCCTCAGCTTCCGGCTCTGTAAAATGGGCATAATGATAAGTAACCGATCTTATAGAACTGGTGGTGTGAAAATTAAATGAGATGATACATGACTGCTGCTCACCCTAGGGTCTGACTTTGTCATTCCCCCCAGAACAGACCTGCCTCTAGTTTGCAACCCTTCCAGTTCATCACCACATGGCAGTCGGGGATTTTTCTAAAATCCCAGTCTTCTGATCTCTCCCATGCTTTAAACTCTCCCATGGCTCCCCACTGCCTCCAGATAAAGCCCACCCTCTTCTCTGTGCCCCCCACTCCCCCCCACCAGTCGAGCCCCTGCCAACCTCAAAAACCAGAATGCTTTTCAAGGCTCCACCTACATCATGATTTGTTGGCCTCTAGAGCTTTGCAAATGCCTTTCCTCCTGCTGGGAACAGAATTCTCTCTCAACTGCATTTTGCCAGGTTGACCACTTATTCTTTAGGTTTTTTCTCTGTTGGTCTAATACAGTGGTTCTCAACCTTCCTAATGCCGCGACCCTTTAATACAGTTCCTCAAGTTGTGGTGACCCCCAATTTCATTGTTACAAATTGAACATAAATAAAGCATAGTGATTGATCACAAAAACAATATGTAATTATATATGTGTTTT